AGCAGATCCTGGAGTCCATGGGAGACCCTGGGCTAGCAGCCTGGTGTCTGAGCACCTGCGGGGTGCTTGGAGCTTTGGGTCCTTGCTGACATGGCATGTCTAACCCCCTCTGAAACACACAGCACTGGGGTCTGAGCACCAGCAGCCCTTAGAAAAAAAGAACACTTCTATAGCTGGCAACTTTTGTACTGCTTTTGGGGCTGCAGCCTTACCTGCTGCCCTTCCAGTTCAGTTACTGCCCAGGAGATCATCTGCAGTTGGACTAGATGATCACTGTAGGTCCCTTCCAACTGAACTGATTCTAAAATGCTTTTGAGAGAACAGATTAAAAACAGAAAAACAGAGTTAACTCTAATTCCAGCAGCTACAACAGTACTGGCTGAGGGTGTAAGTAGACCTGTACCAGATTTCAGAGTGTAAATGAACCTCAGATTACTTAGGTCTGGTCTTTTGGATTTAACCAGCTCTTGAGTCACAAGTCTATTACATATTTCTATTTTTAACAGGAATTAAACCGTATTATAGTCATTAAATATACACTTTAAAATACTAGTGCTATTTAACCCTGAGTTAAATAACAATGTAACTGTGAGCAGGCATGCACAGAGAGCCACACCTCTCTTTCTTCCCTTCTGTATTTCTTTGCAGCTACAGACTGCTCCATACTGATGAGCTACATGAGGTGGTACAGGGGAGCATTTCATGTCTGGAATCATTTGCAGCATCAGGGTAGGTATAGTTGGATATTAATTCCTCTGAAACCATCAGGAACAGACACCTTCAGGACCATTATGCCCATGAATGAAACGAGGGTGTGCTTTCACTGCAGAGCTCAGTGTTGTGCAGTGCTCATAACATGCTGTCAGACACTCAGCCCCAGCTCACATTTGTTACCTACATACTAATAGGCTTTTACCCAGGAAACAAGTATGGTCCCATCACCCTCACGTCTCATGACTGTTTTATATCCCATCAGCAGAACAGACACAGACTATGAGTTTTAACAACATCCCTGCTTTTCAAGAAAACTGAGCGGCTGTGTAGGCACAAGAATTTCCTGTTGCACTGTTTCCTGCAAACAAGTTAATCTAAAAAAAGATACATGACATGTTATGAACCTTAGGAGTGAACCCCCAGTTCATTTTTCAAAATGACAGACGTGATGAAAATTGGCCAAAGGCTTGGGGGAAAAAAAAAAAAGTGGGGGTCAGGGTGAGGGGAGCAGATGGGGGTGGAGAGGAAGACATTCCAGAGCCCTCTGGAGCCTTGGACTCCTCTAGGACCCATTAAAAGCTTATGTTACTCCCAGCGTTTATAAACAAGTGCTTTCTTTTGCCATCATAATCTTCCTCCTGTCAAGTGCTTAGGAAGTGTTGACTGCTGTCTTCTGCTGAAGCAAGGCACCAAAAATGACGGCAGGTTACAAATCAAATACCTTTGATTTATTAGCTTCCCCAAGTTCCAGGAGGTTTGTTGTGATTCCTAAGTGGCCTTAGTAAACCAACTAATCAATAGCACATCTGAATGCTGACAGACTGCAATGGAAAGTTTCACTGCCAGAGGGATTACATCAGTGCTGGCAGAGGACAGGCAGTAGGACTGCAACCCTTGCCAATTTTTTGCATTCTTCTGCTTTTATTATTGCCCCTGCTGTCATCAAGGTAGGAAATTTCAGGATGAAAAAACACTGCCATTCTCCATATGAAAACATTTTACTCCCTTCACTAACTGGCTGTATGGCAAAGATTTTAATTTCTATTGGTTTTACATTACACAAAATACAGACTTCAGTAACCTATTACAGCCATATTTCCTGTAAAATATTTGCTGGAATACAGCAAAATAGTACCCACTTTTTGTTGTTGTTGTTGTTGAGTTTCTCCCTGTTTGTTAGACACATTAGAATCAAGCAAGAAACAAACTGACCCCTGAAGAGAAATGAGGCATTAGCAATGAGACTGAAGGTCTCAGCTCTGTGTCAGAGACTACCTTGCACTGGACAGGTAGTGTAAGAGAGCAGCTTTCAGCCTGCCACTGGATGGTTTAAGTGGAAAACATGGAGGGTCTCATTCGAGCTCCAGGGGGTAGGTGCTGTTCCCTAACAAGCTGGCAGTGCAGGCTGCCACCTTAGCAGGGAGGCTGAACTGAAGTCTGCCCTGGGAAGAGAAGCAATGCCAGGGATATGGCATCCTCAGGTGTCAAGATGGGTACAGTGAATAGAACAAGTGTATATTTTACCTAATAAAGCAGGATTTCTGCATCTGATTCCTGCACATTTCAGGATGCAGAATAAAGAACTATCAGGATAGTGCCACACAGAAAAAGGAAAAGCAGAAGCAAGTTGAAATACAGAGCAGAGACAAAGCAGAAGTAACTATGCAATATGCAAAGATATTTATCCAAATCAGCTGCAAACAAAACAGTTAGGCTGGAATTTGCATTTTCTTTTGAACTGTGTGCCAGCTTCTCTTGTGAATCACAGGAGCTCCACTGGCAGTGAGATGCAAGAAAGATTCAAGAAAAGTGTAACAGCATGATAGACAGGAATTATGTCTCCTTGAAGAAGATTAAATTATAAAGAAACCATACAGGAAGATTAAGGGAGCAAGAGTAGTCAGAGGAGCAGATATTGATCGCTTATGCAGGACAATTGAATTCCTTGGCAACTGCCTGCCTCGGCCAAAAGGGAGGCAATATTTCTGTCAGGCAGCTGCAGCTGCAGCACAGACACCCCTGAGTTTCGTGTGGATCAATCTTGTTCCAATCAAAAATTGATGGATGGCTACCTTTATTTATCAGAGTGGAAAGACCTGGGAAACAGAATGGAGATGCACAGGGTTTGAGACTGGATTGACATGTCCTGGACATACAAGTAAACACAACTTTCAGCCAGCCAGGGTCCATCAAGAAATGAGACATCCCAAGAAGAAAAACACAAGGAGCAGCACAGCCCACTCCTGGAAGCAGCCACAGTGCAAGGTGCTGCAAGGACTGGTTTCATCAGAGCTCCTCTGCAAGCCAGGTAGGGATGGGTGGGGAAAGAGAACAACTCCTGGCCAGCAGAGCAGACCAACGTGGGCTACACACTGCCCGGACACCCAGCGGCACGAGAGGGGTGACTGGTCCTCATTCCAGCTACCCTGCTCCTTCTCAGAATTAGTGCTGGGAGAGGTTCCCACACTGCTGCTTTTCCTGCAAATACTCACATTGGTGGCTTACAAAAAGTACCAAAGCTCCTTCTTCTCAATTAACTGACTCTCCCTTGCTCAGGACTAGCAGATGCTGTTAAGCAACAAATAGATAATCCTCAAAAAAGCAGAGCTACTAATCAGTCACTTTTACAGCTAAGATCACTTGGAGTAGCCACTGCCTTCTACTGTTTTTCTAATTAATTGCACTGGAATGCATTTAAGCAAGCCCCGGATCAAAGAATCAACTGCAGAGATTGAAATAAATCCCATCTGTGTTGCTAATGCCTTGGAAATGGATGACTTGCTAAGCTTTCAAAATCCTGGGTACCAATGGTTTAAAACTACAGATAGTGTGAGACACTTTCAAAGGAATAGATCTAAGAATAAAAAGGAAAAAGCTCCCTTCATTTGCTCGTAACAGACAATTAAACAAAGACAACTGTTCAGCTAATTTATTGTGAAGTTTATGTATCTTAAATTCCTTATTCTCTGCTTTCCTATCACCAGAAATCACAGTGCAGAAGTGCCAATTTTCATTACAGCAAAATTTTATCATCATTACAGATTTCTTTTTTTTTTTAATTTGCTTTTATGAAGGGTTGAAATCTTCTCAAAATAATGATAAATAAAAATGACTGGGGTGGATGTGTCACCAGTTGGTGCAATAAATCACTGCCACTTCCTCCACGAGTCTCTCTCTCATGGTTTAGAATATCATCAGAATGCCTTTGATTGATTTACAATTTGATAATCCAGCCATCATCATCCATAATTCTACAATAAACCACGCCACTTAATGTAGCTGTTACAGATGTTCAGAAGTTCCTTCCCTGCCTTTTAGGAGGTGATATCTAGACAGCAGCTGCAGACACCAGGATTAGCTGAGGAAGAAAGATCTGTCCTCAGCACAGGAAAACATCCCATTTTCCTATAGCAATGCCCTGCCTTTAGAGCTGAAAGACATGCTGCCAACCTTGAGATATCCAGGTTCAATTATTGAACACCAAATATCTCTATGCATATATGCACCCGCCTTGCCAGCTGGCAGGAGTGACAAGCTGCCTGGCTTCTCTCTAAAACACATTATTTCCTGGGAAATCAAGACATTACTAAAAGCCATATGCAACAATTCTATCAAAGGGTATGCAGCACAAAGCAACTGATCTCACGCAGGCTGTGCCAGCGACAAGAAACCCGTGCTGCAGAGCAGCCTGCATGTGGCACAGCATCCAGAGTCAGACCGAAGGAAGTGCTCAGAGTTTGCCCTTAAAAAGAGCCCAGCAGTGGGGCTGAGGCAGGCAGGAAGGGCTCCAGCCTGATGAAGAGGGTGCTATTCATGGTGTTGTTACTGTAACCGACACCAGCCCCTCCTGACAGCCCAACTGGAGCCTTCACCAGCATCATTACTCTTTTTTTTTTTTTGCAAATTGCTGATCTGAAAACAGTAGGTTAATTCTTGGTTTCAACTTCTTTTGCTTGAGCCTGAAAACAACACAGCATGAGCTGGCCTCCAATTAACACTTTTGTTAATACTGGTACTTAAAGAAAATGAACATCTGTAACACACACAGTCCAAGGCACAGGTATTTTACATCCAACAGCACTAGAACTCTCTGCCAACCTCAGCAGCCACAGTTCATTTAAAGCAGGCATACAGAGATATCCCAACAGGAATTGTCAAAGTGATGGTCTAGGTCACAGAAACAATTTCTCTCCTAAGTGAATCACCATACTGAGGAAGCTAACAAAGGCTGCAAAATTCATTAGCTGAGCAGTGCTGGAAAGGTCTGCTCCAAATCCATCACTGACCTGTCTCGGCCAGCCAGCATCCTGTCTCTGACAGTGACCTGTCCCAGGCGCTGCCAACAGAGGTGCAAGGAACAGCAAAGCTATTCCTAATTACAGGAATCCTTGTTTCCTCTAAGCTGCACTTACAAGACTCACAAATCAGACTCGTGGGTTGGGTCTTCAGAGGGACACTTCAGTTTACAAAACTTCAACAACCACAGGACTCTCTGCTGGGCGATCCCTCGGATCAATACCTGGTGGGGCTGGAAGAGTTAGCATATCTGAGAGAATGTAAGAGCCAGGGAAATACCAGGTGGGGACTTCACAGGGACAGCACCCCTGGACTGTGAAAAAAAGATGGCATGCCCTAACAAACCATGGGTTCTTTCACCCTGTGGCTAGCAGCAGCACCTAGGTCTACCAGCAAAGCAGCAATTTGTTGAATGTGACTTTGAAAAGCAGCTTTTTGTTTAATAAATCCTTGAGACTTCAAAAAAACCCCCAAACAAACAGGCCAACGTTAGTCCCTCACCTCCCACGTGGAGGCTCTGGAGGTGTCCGAGCTGGCTGCCTGCGGCCCCGTCATGACGGGCTTCAGAGCGCGCCTGGCAATGCCCAGAGCAGTGCTCCCAGCCCCGCAAACCCTCTGCCCCTGCCCAGGGCCCGAGCGCCGTGGGACTG